GGTGTATGATGAGTGGTGTATGATGAGTGGTGTATGATGAGTGATGTTTGATGAGTGATGTTTGATGAGTGGTGTATGATGAGTGGTGTATGACGAGTGGTGTATGATGAGTGATGTAAATGTTCGTAACACGGAAGTTCCTCCAAACTTCCTTTGATGTAGACTATTGAAAGCAAGACGGCCTAAACCAGTGGTTGCTTAGCAGATAGCAGTGTCTAGCTGATGGAAGCGAAATACGACTCGCTTCGGCGTGTCAAGAGTTGTGTACCTACTAGGTAACCTAGATGTACAGTCATGAGGTGCACTGTTCATTAGTTGAAAACTACTCCGCTGGAGCGCGTGGGCTCGAAAGGTGCGTTACCAAACAACCATCAAGAGGAAAGAGCTGCCATCAACATGTCATGCTGTTCCGTGACCATGTCAAAACGGATTCAAGAACACGACTCAATTGGGCTCCGACCAACAATGCTTTCGTCCCTGTTGAGACAAATACAAATGAAATCGACTGCAACTCAAATGTAAATGTAAAATCCGAAATGTGCCAACAGGTTAAATCCAAAAACTCTTGCATTGTAAACTTCAACGCTGCAATGCTGAATGGAATCAAAACCAGACACAACAGATCCCACTTGGCAGGGATCGCTCCAGTCCATCACCCATCGCCCCGGATAGCCCGACTCTTTTGAACCCAGCGCTACACGGCGAAGTAAGACAAGAACAGATGCGAAGTGTCACCAACCTCTGGGAACCCAATTCCTGAGAGAGAAGAAAACTCACAGAGAGAGAGAGGGAGTGAGAGAGAAAAAAAATGGAAAAAATGGACTATGATGGCAAAGTGAGCTCAAAGAGACATTGTGGAGCCTCACATCGCCAAGAAGGAGTGCGAACCACTTTCCATAGGAGTTAGTGTGCAGAAACATCGCATTACTAGCATCATAGATAGAACAGTTTGCTTGTACACTTTGTGCATGTGAGTTGATTGCAGCCCTTTTGCAAGACAAGGAAAAGTGCGTAAAAAGTAAACAGTGTATTTTAATACAATTGGTGAGTTTGTATATTCCAACCATTTTTTGTTCTTTTGATATCTACTTGTACTTGTTTTATCACTTATAGGCTGTGCCTGGAACTGGGGAACCAAGTCTGAACGATATGCAAACTTGGATTAACATTGGTGCCGTTTTTCGTGTCAACTTTGGAAATAGAACCAATTCGCCTTTTTGAAGAAGCAGGCTGAAAGTTTGACTGGTTTTTGCCGATCTGTGATTTGCGCAAATGGCCTCCGCACTGACAAAGCTATCTAAGCATTACATTATGTGCTTTCCGGATGATACCACAACACAAAAGGATTACGCCTTGGCAACTTTGGTGGGCAAATTTCAACGCCATGGGAGAATCTTGGCCTCAGTTCAGACATGAACGCTTGCATGTTGGACATTTAGACACACTGAATGATGAACGCAACAAGTTCCGAGTGACTTTTTGGATGCAAAAACCGTGTGATACATGGCTTTCAAATGCGTGGCCAAGTTGTTTCACCAAGTGCACTTGCCACCGGTCAAACCAAGCAACGTGTGGTGTTTTATGATACGCTCTAGGGATGGGAAACCGCAGCAACACCACCGATACTTGCAATGCAATTGCAATTTTCGCAGATCCCTTTTGCCCTCACATATGCGGCAATTGGTGGAAAAAATGGGTTCACCACCAGATGAACCAATTATCATGTGGTTTCACATCGACTTGGCCTTCACGAAGCCTTTCAATATTGACCACGTGTCAAGGCGACCCAAGCCCTGGAACATCCTGCGCACTAATGATATTTGTTGTGGAAACTCGTAGCAGAGGATCTTGGTCTCTGGACCGTGTTCAGGATCGACGATTGGACTGTGACGATATTGAACAATTTCCACTTGTCACCAAGAGTCTTGCAGTGCCAGCAAAACTGGGCCAAGGTCGTGGAAATGATAAAGAAAAGGCGTTGCAAAAACATATTTCGTGAGACTTGTGATCACTGCACAGGGTTTTGACGGATCATTTTTTTGACATTGGCGGGGTTCAAAGCAAACTTTTGGACACTGCCCCCACCACATGTTTTGCACCGCCTTGTCTATTCAATTTAGTGTTCGATCTTTTGGTGCCAGAATATGCGAACATCTATCACATGGGGGTTATCAGTTATCAGTGAACATTGGTATGCTTCAGATGTTACTTTGCATGCCAGGGCCAGTTGGTGATTGTGAAACAACTGCTTGTTTATTGTTTATCAGGCAAACAATAATCAACATTAATATATAAAAGAATCAGGAATGAGTTGACAGTGGCCTATGGCAATGACATTTTTATTTGGTTTGTGATTAAACATACTGTAGCAACAATCAACATTTGATGATCTTCAAAATATGCAGATGATGCCAAACCAAATATTACGCATTTTCGGCATTGTCATTGTGAAATGGAGTGGGATTTCGGATTTCAGCGACAGAGGTTTGATGGCTGCAGTTATCACAAATGGTTCTTCATGTTTGTTTTGTTGGATTAGTTCCATTGACCAACAGTTCATTGGAGCATGTGATTGAAACACACCAGAGGGACACTGAACCGTCAGTTGTTCTGAAAAGTTGTTCATTTGACCTTCCATTACTTTTGCTGTGCGGGTGTGGGTCAAACAACCATAAAAGTAGTTTCATATTCCTTGTCAAGTGAGTGACTCGCAGTGCACGTTCATGCAAGCGCTCAGTGTGTTAACGTTTTCAAAAACACAGTTGGTGCACAGCAAAGCAGGCTGTGTTTGTTGCCCAATTCAACGACTCTCAACAATTAGAATACATCCTGTTGGTGGTACTGCAGGAAGTGGACATGAATCCTGAATGGACTTTTACAGGCACTGGAAATACTTTCTTGATTTCTTGATCTTTTCTTGCAAGCATTGGTGTTCTTCATGTCTCTTGGAGTGAGGAACTGCACCCCATAACGAGGATGCAACCGATGTTTTCATGTGCTCCATGATGTCAATCATTGTCAACGTGGCTGCAGTTTGCAAAGAAAAGCATCAAACATGTCAATGTCAATAGACTAGTCCAGCACAACCAGCATACATCAAGCAGTCTAAGTCCGTGCAAACACTCTGATTTTTTATCGTATTGTGCATTTTCTTTGGGCCTTAGTGACTCACTGAATCCATGATGGTTGGGAAGTCGGCAAGAATGTGCAAGAGGAGCATTTTTGGTAGGCCTTGCACGATCGAGATCGCCCTGACTTTCTTTTCTGCGGTGCACAAAAACCTTTGACATAGTATATCACAGTTAGCGATCGATGACTCCCGATTCTGTCTTTCCAGTGATTGCTTTTCAATTGCCTGAGCACTGGCTCTTGTGTTGGAGCAAAAGGAGACGCTGCTAATGTTGAAGGTGTTCTTGGCTGGGCTTTTCCTTGCGATCCCGTCGCTAGTCCTAGACGCTTGGCAATGGGCGGCTCTTGATCGTTGAGTTGTAAACCACGAACCGAAAGGGTTTGGCATTCTTTTGGACAAAGAACTTCATGGTGTTGCATCCGAGGCGCAGGGCACCTTGCAGGCGGCTTGTGTGTCATTCTTGTCACTCCGCTCTTGAGCATGTGTTCGATCTCCGGTCAGTTTCGGGAGGCTCAACCAGCGGAAGTTGAGATATGCTACAATCGCAAGCAGAAGAACCTGACAGTTGATCCCTACTGTGGCAGGATGCTTGGTCGCAGTTGTTTTGACACTTTCATCCTTATTTGTCAAGACCCCTTTAAACCAACGCCATTGTTCAATCTAATCATTCCTTGGAGCAAATCACCAAAGCGAGCTGAGAAGGAGCGGTCAGAATTCAAAAGGAAATTATGGACTTGATTTCTCCACCTCCAGTGCAAAACCCCTACACCGAGATGTGTACTGGAGAAGACATAGCATGTTCTTGCAATCCCAAAAACACCAAAACATATAGGAACCGTGTAGGGGCAACGTCTTGGGAACTTAGGGAATATCTGAATATCCCGTCCCTGAACTCTGAATCGATTGGACATCCGGAATACATCATAATCAGACATCATGGTGCAAATCAACACTTGATCACCGCAGACAGGCAGACAGCTCAAATCACCAGAAATGAGCACAAGAAACAATCATGGTAACCATCGTACCATGCATTGATTTGAGTACCAGTGAGGGGACTGCTACCACTCTCTATGCGCTTTCTCCTAACTTCCACTCCCAACCTCAAATGATTCACTTTGTGGTGCAGGAGGTGGGCCGTGATCAATGCTCAAGTTATCAGAGAATTCTGGGAGGTTCACGAGCTGGAGTTCTATTGGGATAGCCAGTGCACACTGCCTTTCCCTCAAGGACTTGCGATAGCATCGTCAGTGATCAGTTCTTTCCCAGACAACAACGAGAAAATGGCCTGGGACCAGAACCTCCTCACGAAGTGGTCAGCAAATTGCAGACAAATTCTTGGAGGTTGTAGCCCATATACGCAATGGGTAGGCAAAAACATTGGTGATTCAATCCCTTTGAACAAAGAGCCAGTGGAAAAGTTTGCTCAGGTTCGCTGCACGAGAATTTATCAATCTCCGAATGCAACTCGACAGTCCTCCAAGATTGGGATTGTTACATGGGAGAATGAGAGTCTTTTGAGTTGGCATGTCATATATGACTACGGTGACTTAGCAGGCGGAGCCTGGCATACCAGGCCAGCTCGTGAGGAATCGCTTTGGAGGATTTGGAATTTAGATCCGATGCCAAGACCGTGGCAAGTGGCAGAAGTGATGTTCTTTACTGATCTATTTTGTGAAGAGGACAAGCAGGCTTTTGGAACTCCGATCTCGAATGGTGCATACTTCGAGGACACCTGCATCCAGGATAGGACCTGTGATCAGTATGTTGCAAGGAAGGCCTTTGATGGCATCAAGATGCCGGGGTATCGACTGCCAAGATTAGAAGGGACATGGATTGCCAACTGCGACTTCTGGAACGGATGTGCGGCCAAATCCGTTTGGATTGGTTTGGATTTTGATGTTTTGCCAAAGAGAGTTCGATGCATTCGTATCAATCAGCCTGTGCACGAAGGGTTCTATGAAGGATGGGGAACACCGCACTTTACCTCTAGGATTTTGTTGCAAAGTTGGGATGGCTTCAAGTGGGAGGACCGGACGGTGTTTTCTGGTTTGGGTCAGGGAGGCTGGAATGACACGATGCCAGAAACACACACTGCCTGGCGAATTGCCAACTTTGACCGGATTCTGCAAGACTGGAGGGTCTACGAGCTCGAGTTTTATGACAATGAGGAATGTGCTGGTCGACCCAAAACGGGCGAGTCAGTGAATAGCAACCCTGCATTGTTGTCTGATGCTCAAGAAGTGGCCTGCTGGACAGATCTTGGCAGTTGTGCCAACAATGCTTTTGATGGCAAAATTGTGACGGGCTGGCAATCTTCATGTTCCCCATGTGACCAGCGGAGTGCGTGGATTGGCCTTCGCTTTCCGATGGCCACCGAGATCAAGTGCTTTCGTCTCCTGCAGAGCGAGAACGTGGAACATCGCACCGATGCGCTCGAGCTCGCTGAGTGGATGGGGGATGCCTGGGAGACCCGACGCTTCGAGTCAGGCGTTGGAGGTGGAACATGGAATCGACGCCCCAGCGGCGTTTCGACCATGTGGCGCTTGCTGAACATAGTTGAAACAGATCGTCCTTGGACAGTCACTGGCCTGGCGTTCTATGCAGATGAAGGATGCAACATTCCTATTCATGGAAATCCCATTACCAATGGCAACGAGTTGCTATATCCTTCAGCCGATGCTTTTGATGATCATATTGAGACTCAGTGGATTACTAGTTGCACTCCCGCCTTCACAGGTCACCTAGGCTGTATGGCCAACGCAGCCTGGCTTGGCTTGCAGAAGCAGGAGGCCTTCACAGTCTACTGCATTCGCCTTTATCAAACACGTGAACGCATGAGACAAGCCTCGACAGCTGTTCTGCAAGTTTGGGATGGCCTGGTTTGGACTCCTTCCAGGGAAACTCAGCATTCTAGCAGATTCTTTGTTTGTTTTGTATTCGTTTTCTCGACGCAACTAGTTCCAGCTCATCTGCTATTTGCGCAAAATCTCTAAACATCTCCAAATTGCTTCCCTGGTGCAATCTCCAACAAGTCAACAAAAACTGAAAGTATACACGTATACACACAGGTGATGCAGCTGCATGTACTCATGCTTGCCAGAACTGAAACAGAATTATATAACTTGCAGCAGAAAAGCTCAAAACTCAGTTTGGTCGATAAATCTCACAGGGAATTCCGATTTTCCTTTCAGGAGCACCCAATCTTCACTGAGCTTGGAGGTGGTGCATGGCAAGTGTTGCCGGGCTTGCGCGCGTCGATGTGGCGGGTCTTGGCGGACCCGAGGCCCGGCGGTCATGGGGTTGGCATCAGCGAGATCACCTTCTATCGAGCCTCAGTGACAAATGGAACATGACCATAATATATAATAGGAATGGCCTCCAACCTAGAAGCGATGGCCTACTAACTTGCGACATGGCTGTTTCTTTTTGGCAGAGAAAACCATGTCTTGGGTCGCCTCGGTAGCCTCAGTGGCCTCGCTGTTTCATGCCCATCTGACAAAACGGTGTTCTATTTTTGCCAGAGTGCAAACGACCTTGATCTCCTGCCCTCTCCAAGGCACAGCGCCTGCAAAGCATGTCCCTATAAACGCGTTCGCACCGATACACCGATACACCAAGGGTTTAGGGCTTAGGGTTTGGGAGGGTATCGACTGGTGTATCGTCGTAATGGCGTAGAACGCAATGCGTCCACCAAACAGCGTAACGTCGTAATCACCCTTAAGGACAGAGTTTGCAAGCACGCTCCTCCAAGGAAATTCGGATTGCACGAACCCCATCATGGCTTCTATACCGAACATCATGCCAATTTGCTCGGGCTATGCCACCTCCCGTGAAGTTGGAGATAAAACAGGATACACCAATCACTATTCGAAGATGGGAGAGCTGGTCAGTGCAGATCCCATGATGGCTTTTGATGGAGAACTGCACACTTTTTGGGCTGACATCGCCGGAAGCCGCGCATGGCTTGGCTTGGACTTCTCTTCGCAAGTTGCAGATGTTCAATGCATCAAGGTGGCCTTCCCGGGAATTCGATCATTGCAACCGGCAACAGGGGAGCTGCAGGGGTGGAATGGGAACACCTGGAAATCTTTAAATGCGCCAACAAACAATGTCTTCAATGTGGACTCGGTTCTTCTGCTGCCATTACGAGACTTGGGAGGGCAAGGGTTCCAAAGAAGGCCTGCCCCTGTCTACTCAATCTGGAGACTGCAAAATGGTTACGGTATTTCAGCATGGAAGGTCTTCGAATTAGAATTCTACACCGACCTTGCTTGCCGTGGAGATCCAGTCGTGGGCGAGCCCATCAGCTCAGCTGAAGATGCAACTCTAGCGGATGACTTTAGTGGCCATCGCAATCCACACAAAGCATTTGACAAGGACATACTTACTTTCTGGGAGGCACACTGTATCAACGGAGTTTGCTCCGCAGGGGAAGCCTGGCTTGGTCTCGATTTGGATGGAATAGGGCGAATCGTCCGATGTATCCGCATCAAGCAGAGCGGTGTGAGAACTCAGTCGGTGAGGAGCATGACCCTTGCTGCTTGGACTGGCAATTCGTTCGAACCACAGAGTGAGTTCCACGGGATAGGCCGGAATGACGGTGAGAGGTTTTTCAATTTCAAGCTGTTTTTTTGAGTTCCATGTTTTGGTTCTTGGTTGGACCGACATCCCAGGGGTTGGCTTCTGTTCCCAGTACCCGTTGTTTCTAGCCCTGTGAGGTGGAGACACCTGGAATCGTCGCCCAGTTCCTCCAGACACCATGTGGCGTGTGGGATATGCTGAACGGTCTGAGAAGGTTTGTGTAGGTGCGCAAGAGAGGGGATGGCACAGGTCTTGGGGTGTCAGTGAGGTGAAATTCTTTGCAGATGATGATTGCTCCCAGCAGCTCCCGGGGCCCGATGAGGATGGTGTAGATGTGGTTGCCAGTGGCACTCGTGAAGCCGGCATTGCTCCGCTCAGTGGCACAGGACCACACTTGGCCTTTGATGGAAAGGATGCAACCACTTGGACTGCTCAATGTGGAGCTGGTAGTCGAGCCAATGAGGAAGCCGATTGTCGTGCAGGTTTGGAATGGGTCGGTTTAGACTTTAGTCGCAAGTTCGAAGGTCTTCCGGTCACGGTCCGATGTGTGAAGCTCACTCAGTCCCGTAGCTCGGCCAGTGACTGCTGCGACCCGGCCAAGACGGTGACCTTGGAACGTTGGAATGGCACGGATTGGGCGCCAGCCACGTGGCGACACGTGGCAGATACCGGTGAAGTCTTTACCATTGAAGCAGTCTTTAAGAATGTGGCGCCATGTCCTACCTTGAGTCCAGAACAAGTCCAGCTAGCACAGAGCGGACAACTCTCCAGCGCCATTGCTTTAGCACCTGTCATTGAGAGCAGGAGTCGCAGACAAAGTGATGTTGCTCAGATTGCACTTAGATTTGCTTAGACTTTTCCAGCAGGTGAGGAGACATTCAAATAGGGTCAATGAAGTGGATTGCTTCTTTGGAGCCCTGCTGCACCAGCAAAATAGGCAGCCAAAGTTGATAGTTAGTTGAGTGCGCTTTGCATTAGAGCTTATTTTCCATACACATACATAGCATTAAGAGAAACATAAGTTTGAGAAAAATGGCGGGAGCATCACTTTTGTTTTCCAAGGGTCCTACCGGTGACAGACCATATCCACAGCTCTCACGTTGTATGTGTGCGCATATTCAAGCTCATGCGTGATATTGCAAAATTCCTCCTCAGCCCAGAATCTGACCTCACTTCCGAAAACCATGGGGGGGGTGGAGGACGCTACTAGGAGCAAAGGGCATCGCTACTAGGAGCAAGGCGCTACTAGGGGCTCCTGGCCATACTACTAGGAACAAGGACGCTACTAGGAGCAAAACGTTCATGGCCTGGCAACTTAGCACAACACCAACAAAGGCGGATGAACCTTTGGGATCACTTAGTGAATGGGAAGTGTGTCCTGAAGGTAAGGACTGGTCCACAGAGCGTTCAACTACTGTAAGTAACTAGACTCCTAGACTTCCAACATAGACTAAGAGAAAAATGGACAACGTCCACGAGAGAAGCAAACAGCAAGCATAAGACCCTTGAGGACCAGTGTTTCGACCTCTTGAGGTTTCAATTATGTTTTACCCAAGGTTTTGCTGTGCCGTTTCGTTTTGTTTCTCCTTGCATTCTTGTCATTTATTGCCATGTATATTCATTATATCAATTTGATGTCGAACAACAATAATACATGGTTCCTAGATCTCACCTCTCCGGACTCGAGCTTGAGGTTTGCGAAATCCCCAATCCGGGGTCCGTCAAGTTGATGGCAGATCGCTTCTGTGATAAGCATCCCGTGTGCGGTCAGGCCTGGTCTTTCAATCAGAAGTCTATTGGTTGATGGTCTCCTGATTTCCATGCGGAAAAAGGGAGCCACGATAGGGGATGCACACAGGGTTCTGTGCATTTGGGTTTCCGAACAGGATCCAGCATGAAAGAGGAATTGAATGTGTTCAACGGTTTGGAGAGAAGCTGATTTGAGGGGTTTGCAAGTTGACAGTGCAGGCGGGCTTTGTCGGAAACTGTTGCCCCATTGCAACTTGGCCTGAAACAGATCTTTGCATGTTGCTTTCTTTGCATTGTCACCGCTACTTGAAGCCTTTGCATGTGACTCTGCTTTTATCAAGGAAGAGGGCACCTCCCGCTGCTGCTGCAACTACAACGTGAACCAGAAGGCAGCTGGAGCTTTTGACAGTCGAAGAAATTGATGCCTTGGCAGTCTTAGAATTTCCTGTGTTTCTAGTGATCCAGTGAGTTTACAGCCAGTGAACACAATTGCATATATATATATATATACACATACATATATAACTCTTCCTTTTTGAGGTTTTCGAGGATGAGCTGCTGGATGAGAAGATTGCAGAAGAAGCAAGGGCTGGAGCGGGTGTAGGCGACTGATTTGGCCAAAGATGGGTAGCACCAAACAATCTTTCGGATGTTGAACTTTGAAAAAACAAGATTTCAAAGACGGCAGGAACCTTGTGTCGCACCTCATGGTTTGCATATTCGGATTTGTGCAGGCTGCAGTTATAGGGTGCTATGCGTCTATGTGTCCTTAGGCTAAAGGCACTCTGCGTAGGCGCTTGTTAAGAAAGCAATGACGAGTCTTAATCTCGTTGATCTCCCAGTTTTGCATTCTTCCTTGGCTCATTTTGAAGTTTCCGCATAGGAATAGGCGCGCTGCCTATCACTAGTGACACTCTCACATTTCCTTCTCTGCCCACACCATGCAACGCCTGCCTTAGTAAAGACTTCCCTGTCAAGTTTTTTTCCGCTTGCAACACCGGTAGCGCCCGCCTTGTGGTTGTGGAGGCATGTAGCGTGCCTGGTACCAATGTGTTTACCTGCTAAGCACAGCAATGCCACGCTCTTTCTGCTGCTGGTGTTATTATTGTTGCTTCTCACCTTCTCCTATCCAGTCAGTGGCGCTTCCGTTCTGAAAACAAATATAGGTTGAACAAGGTCAGTATACTTAACTATTTATGTTTTTCACGGAAACTGAAGGTTCAGTTCCTGCACTTGGTCTATTCATTTCCTCATCTTATTCTTTTCTTCGAAGACCCGACTCGAAACAACCAGGCTTTGAGCTCATCATCATTCAGTCTGCGCAAGGAGCTGAGTTGACCCAGAGGCTAAAACAAAGGCCATTGATGAACACATTAACTTTGAAGAAATAACCTACTTCGTAGAAACTAGGAACTAGGAATGGCCTCCAACCTACTATAGCGATGGCCTCCAACCTACTAGGAATGGCCTCCAAATGCATGTTCGCGATGCATATGTGTACGGAGTCTACAGTCTCTTATAACTTTCTGAAGTTTGTTGTCGTCCATGATGCATTTTCTTTTACGTCGCTTCTCAATGCTTAGATCGCGAAGGATCCGTTTCCATTTGCACTTGAGCTTAGTTGTCTCTTGCAGTCAATCTTAGGACAGTCTTGCCCTTCATCGGAGTGATGGCAGCAATGCTTTTCCTCATAATCTACACAGTTCCTCAGCTCTGTCCAATAGGTTTTCAACTTGAAGCAAGTGAGTTGCCCTGTTCTTATTGAGTCGCCACTTCTGTTCTCACACTCACATGTATGATTGCAACATCAACTATCCTAATCCTGGCTGATGTCATTTGGTTCTGCAACTTTGTATGCTGTCTTGCATGATTAAGATCCCAAAGCCTGCAGCCCAAGCGGATGGCACAATCACCTGCCCAGAAAGGACTCCAGCTTAAATTGTGTCTTGCCAGGATTTGCAAAGCTTTTATCAGTATGAGCACGGTAGTTGATCAGAGTTGGTCAGACATGTCTAAATGATTCGTAAACGGTTGCTGTTGGCAGCTGGCACCCGCTAGGATATGGTATCGCATCTGTGGCCCCACTCACAGGTGGTGTGCCTAGCGTGCGCATCTGCAATATTGCACGATGCATCTTCTCTTACAGCCAGGGGTTTGGTTCTTGGAGACTGGACGTTTACCCATCTTCACCCTCAGGTGGCTCCAAGGAGGTGGCTTGATACCGACAATTCTGCAGGGGCCTGAGTGATGTTTTGGATTTGGACTTGGGCCCAATCTCTCAATGTCTCAAAGAGTTGTTTACCAAGGTTGCAACTGGTAAGAAGGACTCCACTGGATCGTAGCTGGACGCTGGTTCTGAAGAGGCCTGATACTGGGTGTCCTGTGTCGAGTAAAATCCTGTGTACAACCCTATGGCCTATAATGACGCACAGTTGCAGCGCACAGTTGCAGCTATTGTAGGGTCTTCTTCCTGTCAAATCAGGATTTTACTTCTGCTGCTGGGCTTCCTGGTTGGCTCTATGCTGATTTGGGCGGTTTGGACCTTGACCTTGCCAAAGGACTTTACCGCAGTCATGTGAGTCAGCTCCACTCAACACAAGGTCTTGTCCTACATCTTTTCGGAGATCTTGACCAGGCCAGGCAGCTGTAGAGTCGTGAGATGAGTGGATTGTGTAGCGTTGTTTGTCTCCTTGCATCAGCAGTTGCATAGTACTGTAGTGTCAACGTCGGCAGCAAAATCTTGGACACCCGGCAGGGTTGTGTTGGCCTGCAGTTTCTTCATCCGCTGGTCCAAGTCGCTGTGGCCCAAGTTGTCCACGAAGCATTTATCTATGTCAAATGTATATGTATATATATATATAACAACAATTTACCACTTCTTTTTTTGCGTGCCATAGAATACGGGGGTGAGAGAAGACGTGTGACACTAAGTCAAAAGAATCAATGCCGCGCCCGTAGGCGCCCCTCATGCCCATCAGTACAGGAACTGCATAACAAAGGACAAGTGCAAATATACCACTATATACATAAATATGTGTGTATATATATATACACATTGTTTTACTACTATTTACAGGACATTCATTCACCTCGAGATGATCGAAGTGCATTTCGACTGCGCAGATGCTCTTCGAGACTGCGCTCTCGTTGTGGTGAGTGCGCATTGTTGGGCTTGGTTAGTAGTTTTTGTTGTCAGGCGCAATGGAAACCTCTTTTTGTGGCGGTCCCAAGTTGACTTTGTGCGCAGGAGATCAGAGCGGTTTTATGTCGATGCATAGAATTCATGGCAGGCGCAGTACTTTGGACATGGTGGTGGTCTTCTGCGCGCTCTGATTTCGTGCGCTGAACCGTGACTTTTGGACATGTGGTTCGTTTTCAGAAATCGGAGGAAGGCTCAACCGAAAGCTGCGCTTTGGCATCTTGATGTTGTCTTTGGAAGTGCTCTTGCTGCGAATCACTTTGGCAGGTCTGCGCGATGTGACGCTTGATGTGGAGATTTCGTGGCGGGCGAAGTACTTTGTGGACCTTGAAGTGCAGGTTTCGTGGCAGGCGAAGTGCAGATTTCGTGGCAGGCGCAGCATTTTGTGGACCTTGATGCGCGGATCTTGTGGCAGGGGCAGTGCTTTGTGGACCTTGAAGTGCAGATTTCGTTGCAGACGCAGCACTTTGTACCTCTAAGTGCAGATTTTGTGGCAAGTGCAGCGCTTTGTGGACCTTGAGGTGCAGATTATGTGGCAGGCGCAGTACTTTGTGAACCTTGAAGTGTATATAGGTTTCGTGGCGCGCGGATTCCTTTGTGGACCTTGAAGTGGTGAGTTCGTGGGAGGCGCAGCAAATGTGTTCTCCTTTTCGTTCTAGGCCTGCACTTGGTTTGTGAACCTGCATTACCACCGTCACCATCACCTCACCACCACCATTCACCCACCAGCATCACCATCACCACCACCATCAACACGATCATCGCCGTCTGGAACCCAATGTGTCTGGACCTCTAAACTCTAGACCTTCTGTTCTACACCTCTAGACCTTTGACCTGTAGACACACAGTTTGGGTTTGGGGTCTCTTGCCGGGATTTTTTTTTTGTGTAATATTTTTCACTCACTCACTCATTCATTCATTCGTTCATTCACTCACTCACTCATTCATTCATTATTTTTATATTTTTTTTTCTTTCTTTCGTTCGAACTTTCGAACAATGACCAAAGATGAGTGGAATTATATCAAGGCGATATCATCCCAAGAATCCAGCTCAACGGCCGGGAACTCAAATCATGAAACAGTCTCCCTGTGTGGATTCGAAGTTCAGTGTCAGCATGCTCTTGATGCCCTTAGGAAGCGTATGGCTCTCGTCTTGGGCTTGCCACTAGGAGATCCTGAAGGCGGTGCCGTTCTCCAGCACCTTGTCTGGAAAACCCGATGTGGTGACCCTCTGTTGGCTTTTATTGAGGAGGTTAACTGTAGAGAGGGATGACCGGCTTGAAGAAGATTGAAAAGCTCAGGATCAAGCCACCCAACGTGGCTGCGATCATCTTCGCCTTCTGTGAAACCGTGGTCGCGAGCTCTGAGAATGTGTGGTATCCGTTCGTCCGGCGGTAGCTTTGGGAGCCGTTCAGGTGCAAGGTCTTTTGGGTCTCGTCCAAGCCATGTTCGATGTCATCATCATCAGGCGCAGACATCGGTTGCTTGTTTGGTGTTTTCATCAGACCAGGTTGAATGAATAAACAAACAAGCAGAAGAAACCAGATGAAAAGAAACGTCGGCCGGGGCAGGTTTGCCTTCATGAGCATAGGGGCAGAGCCCTCAGGATCCCCGTGGTTTGGCCATGATTCAACTTGTTTTTTTCTCCTTGACTAGTCTCATTAGGCCGTCGATTTGAGACTCTCAGTCCTCGATATTGTGATCCAGGCCGAAGAATTTCAATAGCAATTTCGTTGTTGATCGATGACCCGGGCTAGGTACCAAACCCTGGTATCGACTTGTCTGGCGTGCAAGGACCTCAATTGATCAAAGGGGCGAATGACATCTCAATTCGGCAAGAGCTGCAAAGAACTGAGGGCAACTCTCCTCTACGAGGTCGCGTCGTCCAGGCCTAAGAGGTCAATGGCTGCGGTAGATCCTAAGAGGTCATCCAGTGCCTTTGTAGGGCCTCCAACCTACTATAGCGATGGCCTCCAACCTACTATAGCGATG